CCCAGTTGGGGTCATATTTAGGAATATTAGTATATATGAACAATAGATCCAAACGTAAGCATCAATGAATGTCAGATAAGATGTACATATAAATGAAGAAAACTTTTCTTATTAATAGATTCATCCTGAATGGGTCCCCTGATGAGCCCATGGCGAAACGCGTCGGGGCCTATTAAGTTAAGCTATGCTTTGAAAACTACCATTTGGTTATAATAATGTAACCACATCTGAATTACATTGAACAACATAATGAATTGTCGGACCAAATTAATTTTAGAGTTGTTAATAATGAATATACCGATGTATCCTCTGCAGGGTTTTTGATTTTTAATAAGATTGTTTTGAATCATGTATGCAATTAATCAAGCATGTATTAGCAATAAAATTTGTATATTCCTTTAAAATATCTCTTGGACGGTCATTTACACCCCTCCAGAAACCCTTTTAACCTTCTATGTCTTGTTTAATTATGCAATTAGGGGGAGAGGTGTAAAACTAGGTATACACAGGGGGACTACCCATAATTTAGTAAATCTGAATGGAATGAAAATATGAAATATTATATTTATTTAGATCTCCACCTGTTGATACAGTGTAGGGAGGGCAAGCAATTCTGATGCCACCTAAAATATGTTTTGATATTAAAATGTGGCATGGAACAATCCACTTGCTCTACTACCCCATTTCACCTGATTTTTCATTTCAGGTGAAATTTGTTGATAACCTCTTAACTGTAAAAAAAAAATCATTCAAATTGTAAAAGGACAAAAACTTGTGCAGAAATAACTACTACACGCCTTTATTTCCATGCCACGCAATAGCAATAAGTCATGTAAAAATGAAGAAAATGGGTTTCATTTCCATTTACCTCACTTCATCACAATGCAACAAGCATCAGGTGACACCTGAAATCTGTCATAACACCCCCCTGAGGTGATAAATCTCCACCTTAATAACAAGTAAAAAAAAAAGAGGAAATTTTCCTTTTGCAAACTGCATTACAAAGTGTATTTTATCATTCTAGTTGTTAAAAATAACCTCTAACATGTTAATTTACCACTTTTTATTGAATTAAAAAAATGTCTAATTTTGCTAGATAAGCGTTAGTGAGTTTTGTAAATTTACTACTTTTACACAGCAACTATATAACGTGGGGCGATATCAATGAAACAACAGAAAAAAAGCTTTGTGAATTGACCCTATTGTGTTTGTGCTAACAAATGTTTTGACAGAAGCTAACAAGAATTTAGATGGTGTTCAACTGCTACTGACGGATCTGACACAAATGATGAGACAAACATTTTGAAGTCCTAGGGTCTCCATGTAACCTCTCCGATTAAAAAATGCTCTTTGTTGGGAAATTGAACTTTTATCATCTCAATGCTGATGTGTAACACCTCGATTTCTGTGATGTATGCTGTAGCCATGTACTACCACTGCCTCCGTATATGTGTTATAATGCTCTCTGTTGCATAATGCACAGAAACAGGCTAGGGATTGAAACAATTTAACTTTGCAAGATCAGATCACAGAATGCCTAAGGATACCTTTAATTAGGAAAGCAATATATGTTTTTACTCACTTGTCTGAGGATGTGGATTCACTGTCTGAGTGGTCTCTGTGGTGGCTTTTTTTCTCGTTCTCCTCCTTGAAAAAACATACAAAACACAGAAGCATTCACTTAACTGTACAACCATGCTTTTATAGTGGTGCATGCACATTTAAAGGGCATTCTATTCCAAAAGCAGACTTTTGTTTCAGATACAGCCATTTTAATTCAGGTCACGCACAGTTACATTCTGTAATATATATATATTTTTCTTGCCCACTGAGGGACACAGGAAGTCTTAAAAAGGTAATTCCAGCTTCCCGTCAAATGCGAAAAACTGAAATTACCCCCACAAATCCATCCGCATATTTTATCAGTTCTGATGTTCCAAAGGCTAACCTTTTTGTTAGCACTCTTCATCAACCAAAACCGTTGCTGGAGGTTCCACCTACAATTTGCAGCAATCAAGCTCAGCCAACCTTTGAACTGATCGGATTTAGACCCTGCTGGAATGGTCGATGTAATGCTAGCCTGGAAGTGAGCTTTAGGCACTGGGTTCCATGTAGGGTGTTTCTAGTTAAGTTGGCTGTGGAGCACTTTACAAGTCCAGAGCTGTTGCCTGTGTCCCTGCCCTGTCTTTGGGCTGAGCACCAGAAGCTTACTAAATTTGTATTGGTCACTGGGCACCATTATCCCAAATTTCCTGCTGGTGTTGCCTCACTGTTAGGTGGCGTGTTGTGTACTCTTCCACAATACAGTGAAGCATCTAACCACTGCTGCTCCTGCTTGCAAAGAGCCACATGGAACTTTGATCTGTCCATGCTGTCTACAGTGAATTTGTGCCATCTGACACTCTGGTCACTAACCATCACCTGCTACCAGCTGTTGGTTTTTTTTTTTTGTGTACACAGGACCTTGTGAATACCACAAGCCTATATGTGTCCTAGCCGCACTGCAGACACATTGATTCTGGACCAGACATGTGCAGAGAGGCCAGGGAAGGGGTATGGGCTTGGAGACAGTCCCATTGTACCCCAAGCTCATGTTCCATTAACAGGTCAGGGGTTACTTGCAGCATGCCTACTGATGGTGCCAATGTTTGCAGCCTAGAGTCATGCTGCCATCTTTGCTGAGGCTCTATACTCACTTAAGTCCTCTTTTGCTCCGTTGGGCATGGTCGTGTTTTCTGTCCTTTCAGCTGAAGTTTATACCATAGTCATGCAAGACTTTATGACCAAAATTTGCAGACTCTGATCACACACCTTCTCCAGCAGATTTTGTGTGTGATTTACTTATGGCCTTTGAACCATCTGCCGCAGAGATGGATTTTGAGCTGCTCAAATCATTGACAGATGAGCCTACCTCTTAAAAAGAAGACGATTTCAGCTATTATTGATGCAGTGTGCACCACTCAAACTAGAGGATCCGCCTTTTGCTTCTACTAGTGCCATTTCACATCTTGGGTTGTTTACAATTCCTATCACTGCACTCTTCTTTTTCCCTTTTTATTTTTAATGCAGGCTGGAAGAACCCTGGTAACTTGTTTATTGGCTTTGTATGGGTTTTGTGAGGATTTTTCTAAAAAGTGGTCCAATCCAAATGTGGATCCAGCCGTTTTTCATCTTAAAGAAATCTTTTATTATTTTTCACGGGTCAAACACCCAACTGCCACAGTAAATTATTATTTTTATCCAATGCTTCTCTGTGCAGTACAGACTGAGTTACAGACTGACAGTTCACTCATCACACTCTGCAAAGGAAAGACTTCTCATTGACAGATCTCATCTCACTGTCCCTGCACTTTCGAGATGCAAGTTAAGTAACAGGAATCACTTAGTTTGGGAAAGTGAGAAGAGCTATCAAAACTACGTCTCCTTTGCAGATTGTGGTCAGGAATGAAGAGGAATGAACTGCCAAAGTCTAACTTTTTTTGCCTGCACAGAATGCATTGGGATAAAAAGCAACATAAACTGTGGGAGTTAAATGACTGAGATGTGAAAAATAATACAAGGTGAGACTTCTTTAATAAGTCGACTACCATACCATCCAGTGGAGGATGCTCCTGCTTCTAAAGTCCATATCCAGCTTCGATTGATTTGGCTGTCTCCTTCCCCAGCATTAGAACAACCTGTTGAAGAACCATTAGAAATGGATTCAGACGTGGTGGTGTACATCAACCATAAAGAAGGGACCAGAAGTCTTGCAGTGTCAATAGCAGATCCAGTCCTGGGAATTGGCAGGTAGATTTCCTCAGCTGGTAGCAAAGTCGGGCTCCAGTTCATCTGAAAGTAACTTTACCATTGTCTGGATGTGGTTTGAGCTGTGTGATTCTATTATTCAGCTACTGCTTCTTTCAGGAAGACCGACTCCCATTTTGTCATCGCGAATGAGCACTAGAAACGTGCGCCAGCTTCACGTTCCGCTATCTTAAGTGGCTCAGACATACAGTAACTCAAGCTTATGGTCTAAAGGATTGAGTCTCCCCTTTCCTGTTAAGGATTACTCAACTATATCTTAAAGCACCTCTTGGGCATTTTGGCATCAGAAGACTGTTTCTCAGATTTGTAAGGTTGCCACATGGTCCTCAGTTTAGACAAAGATCTATTCGTTGGACGCTTCTGCCTCAAATGATCCGTGATTTGGGTGTTTGGTCTGCTGAGCGGCTTTGACGCATTGACAGTCCGCAGTTCCTGCTTTTAATGTTGGACATGTAAGTGGTTGCTTGCTGTGTTGCCCACCCCTCACTTGGGCTGCTTTTTGACATCCAAAGATTTAAGCCTTCTTGTGTCCCTCAACGTACAAGAAAGAAAATGTTTTTTTTTTGTACTTGCTGTCAAACTCTTACTTTAGTGCGTTGAGACACTGGTCTGATCCCTCCATGTTTAGTGATCATGCTCTCAGTAGTACTTTGCTACAAATCTTAAGCCATGCTGGTGGTAGTAGTAGAGGTTATCTTGTGCTGGCCTAGTTTTTTTTGTTGTTGTTTGCCAGAGTCCAATACTCCTGTAAGTGACAATGTGGGGACTTCTGCATAGTAACTCCATAAGAATCACGATTTCCTGTGGCATAATACTTGCAGGAATTTGAAGAGAATTAATGGCACTAGTTGTAGAATATTTGGTATTCAGGGTACTATGCAGAAGCTCTCCCATCTCTCACATCACATTTATAATTTTTTAAACTTAAACACTACACTCATGAGTTAAACTTTTAAAAAGACATTCAAGTACCTATACTAATAACAAACATTTAGCTTTTTTTGTGCATCACCCAGCTGTAGAACCTCAGATCATCTCTGAATTTGTGCTGACACTGTGTTTCCTTCTGGAAAAGTGGCTACTTTCGTTCCCCATGATCCTGTGTGTGTTGTAGAGTAGCCACCACTCTAAGCTCATTCCCGTGATAGACTACAACCTCATGTTAAGTGTATGAATTTATACTGAAATTGTAGTGATCACTGGAGCAAGCATGGAGTGGAAGCTACTTTACAACATGCACAGGGACCATGGGGAACAAAAAAAGCCACCCTCCAGGAAAGAGCCAGCACGAATTAAGATATGATTAGAGGATGTGCAGCAGAGTAATACACAAATAATCTACATGTTTGTTAATAGCTGAGGCACTTGAACGCATTTTAAGATTTAACTCCTGAGTTTAGGGTCACTTTAAGCTGGTGCTATTTTAACACAACAGATAGCAAAAACAGCATTTTATCTTGTAAAACAAGATGAGGAACTGAACTCCAGAAAATGTGCCTTGTTATGCGCTGCGTGGAGGTGGTCATCATGATAGAGGCAGGGCTTTGCTTCCATATGTCTGAGCCTCCAGCAAGAAGAACAGTAAGCAGCATAGTAGCGGCATCACCAAATCTCCTGAGACTAGCAGCCAAAGGCAACACTGCCTTAGATTTCTCACTGCAGATATACAGCTTTGAGGCTGTAGGCATTGGAATGCCCACGCATCCCCCACATATTAGGAAATGTACAGCAATATTTCAGGAGGAATTCAAAACAAAAAGTTTATATTTTTCAGGACACTGCTCAGTTACCATTAACATGTCTAAATGCACTTTTTATTTTCAGTTCCACTTTCAGCATTATGCTATAAATTGGCAAATAAATCCAAAGCAAGCAAGTACTAACTCTTAATGACTCCTGGAATGAAGCAGCCTGGTACTGTGCATATTTTGCAATGGTAGTATGTGAGCGACTACTTTCACAACGCCAAATTTTCTTTGTTCCAGTGGTGTCCCAGTTCTCATCTGAAGGCTGCAATAATTGTGTCCTCACGTCTACTATATGCTCTGTATTAGCTTCAACCAGTGTTTTAGTAGAAAATAATCCAAGATCTATTAATAGAAAATGACAAAACATTTTAATACAAGGAATAAAACAACCATCGCAATTAAAATAGCCTTTTAGTGTGTTTATATGACAATAACAAACCTAGTTTAAGTGCTCCAGCAAGGCCACGGATAACAGTGACAGGATTGTTTGGATTCGTGCAGAACTGATGCAGAGGTGGGAAGAAAGCATCTCTCTTATTCTCCAACTGTAAAAGTAATAAAAACCATCACAGTAAGTTAAAAAAAAACAGACAACTCACCTAGGGCTTCTGTAGATGAGAGTTAAGCTGCCCATAAACCTTATGAATATCGGCCGATTTCCGTATGCGATCGAGTTCTTGTTGGATATTTGTAAGGTTGATGGATGGACAGTGTACAACCACAAATACTGTACAATCGATCGACTTTTGACTAACCAGCAGGTTAGAAAACTTCAGTCGATTGTTCGATTTTTCGCAAGGTTGTACGATTTACACTGCTCATGCGCAAACGAAAATACATGCGGTCGATTACTGCAATTCGTCCAGGTGCTTTTTTTTTTATTACTACTGATTGAACCTTGCGATAATCGGGGCAGGATGGGGCCGCTGTACGAAAATCGTAAAAGTTTCGCCCGATGATCACATAGTGTATAGGCAGCTTTAGAAGCCAGGTAAATGCAACATGGTTTCAGATTCTTCTGAGATGCTGTGACCCGCAATGCTTTGATTTGCCTTTTGATTGTAGAAGAAGTTGCTTCAGAGTTTCTTTTGCATGCACATTAAGATCCACGGGAAAGACAAACAGCTCAGAGGCAAACATTTCAATGTACATTAGCCTTTAACGTAATCCTCTATTGAGTTATAGAGTTATGTAGCTTCCTAATAATTCTAGTTCTAGTGGTTGTCCTTTAGATTAAACCTCCTCTGGATCTAATGTTTACAGTGCCTTACTGTTCAGTTATGGAACAAGTATACAGATCAGGAGTTTTTACTTCATCCTGACAATGCATTTCAGGTGGTGGTCAACATGGGGCAGCCCACACATTTCTAATTACAGATTTTACTTATGACAGAAGTGTTGGGGGTGGTGGGTCAGGGGGATGAAGAATAGATTCTATAGTCTGGGTGGAGCTTACATTGGAAGCATCACGTTGGCTAGGTTTCATGTGTCTCCAGTGGCTGGATTATTTATGCCATGCTGAGCACATCATCTAATTAAAAGTGAAGGAGGAGAGGTATAGAAGTACACTTTGGTGTTTAAATTAGTGGGTTAATAACTTCTGTATTGATTTAATATGTCTGGCGTTGTGCTTTAACATAAGGCCGTGTAACAGATTCATAATCAGCTAGTACTTAATGTGTAAGAAAGCAACCGCAACAATTATTCTACAGTCTCAGAAACAGAATGCTCGCATTCCATTACAAATAGATTTCCATTTACCAGCACTTTTAGACAGCCCCAAGGAGCATCAACCAAAGTAGTTGACTGATTGTGCTGAAATCAATATCCAGGTCATGCAAATGGACCCATTCTTTGAAATCTGTAACCTCATTTGTTCTTTTACCACTACGTATAGAGCAACCTTTTTTTTATACTTCTGTCACATATCACTGGCTAACCCATATAAACCCAACACAGCCAATAAGATAATGGTGTTATTCCAAGTTTATCAAGCATATTTCCATACTCACATAAATGCTAGGCGTAGGTGGATTTAATTTATCTGTCGGTAATGGTGGATAAGGTGGTGGAGGAGGTCTTGGTGGCGGGCACTTGTCCAGTAAAATGCTACTGTTTGACAGGCCATTCTTGCCAAGATTCCTAGACAAAAACACATGCACAACATAATTAAACATGCACCACACTTACTGTGTACACACAATGTGAAGACAACAAACACGAGTTAGAATCATGAGGTTTTCATTAACTATACATACAGGTAACCATCAGATGCAGTTAAAATGAATCTGCATGTAAAGGGAATGTATACGGATTTCATATTTATATTTTTTCCTTATTACAGTCAGGAATATAGTCAGGTACATATAAAATATTGCACATGAATAAGAGGATTTTTGTACCCGCTTTAAAATCCTTTTACTGCAGTTCATTTAGGGACACAGGAAGTCATAAAGTAGAACTCTGGGCAAAATTATTATTACCCTTACAGGGGGGCTACCCCCACACTGCAAGGAATAACTGCTCGTTTTCGTCTAAGGCGAAAAATAAAGCTATACTCACCCGATCCTCGAAGATGGCTGGCTGTGACAGTGCTCCTTCCAACCCGTCTCCTATGCTGCAGCAATGAAATGCCCCTTGGTGTTCTCTCATTCTATACAAAGTGTATAAAATGTGATGATTTATGGGAAATTAGACCCCTGCAGAGGAGGATGAGAGAGGTTCCAGGGACCTGCCTAAAGCAAGCCAGCCCAGAGGATCAGGTGAGTATAACTATTTTCTTTCCTAGACCAAAACAAGCACTTAACCCTTGCAGTGTGGGGGTAAGCCCCACTGCAAGGGTTAATCATTTTCCTCGCAGTTCTTTATATTTTCAGATTTGCTGCCACCTGACGGAGGATTGAACACTGGCAAAAAAAAACAAATAAAAACAGTAAAACAGCCCAACACATAGGGGTGGGTGCTATGTCCCTAAATGCACTCCAAAAAAATCATTTTACAGCGAGTACAAAAAAAACAACAGGATTTTTGTCATACAATAGATGTTTTGCAATGAAAGTTGTTAAACTCTGTGGGGTTGAGTGCTGACATGCAACAAGTTTAGTGTCATGTTTGCAATGTTTCTTGCCATACAGGTTAAGGAAGCATATTTGCTACAAAACTGAGGCATGCTTGCAGTAGGAGGGGTTACCACGAGCTGGCCTACGGCCTTTTGTTTACCAGTGTTCAGTCCAACTGAAGGAATCAGAGGAATAACAACTCCCTACACTGTGAGGGGGTGCTATGGAGTTTCCATCAGAGTGTGAAGGCAGACAGGTTTTGCGGTGCTTTCACTTTAGAAAAGAACCACAATTCTGTGTGACTAGTGTCAAGGGTGCACTCCTTATTAAATGTTATTTTGCATATACACATTGAAAAGAGTAAAAACAAATAATAAAAATGTGTGAATGATGTCGGTATTAGTTAATATTTCTCTGTGTTTTATTATCAGTATGTATACATGTGCATGTGTGCATGTAATTATATATATATTTTGATCATAGAGGCCATCAGATTCACGCACATTCACACACAGAAATACAGTATGTACACACAGCAATACCATCCCCCCCAGTAGAAATACGCACACAGAAATATGCACCCCCGCCCTATATACACATAATAGAGCACCATTTACACCTGTAAGTTTAGGTGCGATTAGGGATTCCTGCAGCAGGAATCTCAAATCTGTGGTTTACAAGCGGCAGCTGTCACCCGTTCAAGTTAATGATCAGTTAGAGCCGCTGCATGTAAACGCCAGCACACCAGATGAAATTATTATTATTACATAGTATTTATATAGCGCCAACAGTTTGCGCAGCGCTTTACAATATAAGGAAGACATTACAGTTACAATACAATTCAAGACAAGGTGGTAAGGAGGGCCCTGCCCCTGAGGGCTTACAATCTAAAAGAGGAGGGGGAAATGATACATGAGGTAGCTGTGGGAATGAATTATGTGAGAATGTGAAGGTTCAGTGGTTAGGTTGAGGTCTATGTTATATGATTACATGTGGTTAGGAATCAATCGAGAGTGTTTTCTAACTGCATGTAATCGTATCACATGCGGTGTGCAGGTGTTTACATGCAGCGCTGTCACCTGATCAATAACTTGAATGGGTGACAGCTTCTGCTTGAAAATTCCAGATTAGAGATTCCTGCTGCAGGAAAAACAAGTCCCCGACAGGAATCCCTAAACACACCTAAAAACTTACAGGTCTGAATGGGCCTAGTCACACAAAGTACAATACAACTTTACACCTCCCCACCAAAACACACAGAGAAATATACATTAGTACACAATAGTACAAACAGGTTCCTTTCTCCGGTTAAAAAGTAAACAAGCAGCGTACTAGCTACTACAATCCTGGCAAGGCAAACTTAATTAATTAGTCACCATTGAAAAACAAAATAAATATCTAGGCGATTTATCTCTAAAGAATCTAACTCTAGAATGCAAATACAATGCTTCCCATTCATAA